AAGTCTGTTTGTCTATCAGTCAAATAGCCACAGAAAGAGAAACTAAACATCATCAGGGCTATGATTTGTTGAGACAGGAAGGGAAACTCAGAATAGGACCAAGAAGATAAGACCAAATTGAATCTGGTAAGGACCATAGTAATTCAATCGTCCATCTGTCCATCCACCCACCCACCCACTCATTCATCCATCTATCGTCTAGTCATCCATCTATCCATCCAACCTCAGGGAGTTTATATTCTAATGCTTTAAATAGACAATAAATAAATTCAATTAAATTTCCTATCCCTTTTCCTTGATTAACTTTTTAATGGCACAGTTAATATACGATTAAGGAGGGCAAGTAGTATAGTGGCTTATAAGTTGGGCTTCTAATCATAAGATCCACAGTTTGAAACGTCCAGCTGCTCATGGGAAAAAAGATGAGGCTTTCTGCTCCCATAAAGATTTATAGCCTTGGAGACCCTATACAGGATCACTATAGTTGGAACTGACTCCAGAGCACACTTCCCTCTCCTCTGGATGTTCTAGCCTCTGAGTGTATCTAAGATATACCAGGTATGGCATGTGTGTGGGTACCACTTGAATTCGGAAACCATTCACCAAGCGGTTTCTATGAAGCATCACAGTTTCTGTCACCAGCTGTGAGTTAAAATGGATGCTTTAATATTTGAGAGCCTCCATGGGTCAAGGCAGACTGTGTGATCTTGCTCTGCTGAGAGTAGGAGCAAAAGAAATTCAGAAAAATGACGGAGCACATCACAGACCAGGGAAAGCATGGGAGGTGCGCTTACCATTCTCATGTAGTGTGAAACTGTGTAAGGCAAAGAAACCCTGTGTTTTTCAAACAGATCTTAAGAATAAGTTATCTAAAAGATGGGTGTCTTATATTTGGGCAGGGACACAATTCATGTGGTTGCCAAAGACACTGTTTTCCATACATACACCTCTAGTCTCACCTGCACATCTTCCTTGCAGATAAGCTCCAAGGGTGAGGGATATTTTTATTGTTTTATTAATGGCTACATTTGTTTAAGGAGTCCTGGTGCATCATTGTCGGTTGATGCGCTGCACTGCAACGTCATTTTGAACAGCAAAGAAAGTGTTTCAAACTCACCAGTTGCTCCTCAGAAATGCTATACGGGGTTACTATGAGTCAGAACCAATTTGATGGCACTTAACCACAACATTTGTTTAATGTCAAATGTAGGAATGGAAAATACAAGTCAGGGCATGATAAATACCAGGAAATAATAAACGCTATGAGGAAGACTAAAGTCCCATAACGAACGTGCTTTCCCTTTTGTGGGTAGGTGAGTGGGAAAGACCCTGTAATGATATGGCCCTTGAGTGAGGTTGAGCTTGAGGGTAAAGCATCAGAAGTTCAAGGGTAAAACACCAGAAGTCTGAAGCATCTGTGGCCTCATATCTGTCTAGGTGGCATCTTCTCTTCACGTCAAGACTTTGGAGAGGAAGTGGGGTCAGAGGAAAAATGAGTCTTCTCTGGGAAATGGCCCCATGCTTTTCTGTTGGATTAATGCCATGGCAAAGCTGGGGACCCCAGATTGTTATTAGAAGTCCTTGTTTCCCTGTAATATGTTGTTGCTGTTGTTATGTGCCATGGAGTTCGTTCTGACTCATAACAACCCTGTACAGGGTTTCCGAGGCTGTAAATCTTTGCGGGAGTAGAAAGCCTCATCCTTCTCTCACAGAATATAGGTGTTTTTAAATTTGGAGAACATAGAGGTGTTGCCTTGGACCCCTTACTCTTTTATGCTCATCTCAGATTGGATCTGTAAAGTGTAAGGTGTTCTATCCTATGAGCTTCATCAACATAAAGGCGTTTGAAGATCATTATGTCATCTGGTGATGAGATGAATTAGACACTGTCAATCTAAAAGGAAGTAGGAGCATCATAGGACCAGAGGGGATTGATTAACTCAGCTTCAAAGGTGGCATGTTTAAAGTCTTAACCCCTACAACTGTAAGTAAGCACATCCTCTAGGAAAAAGACTGGAAGGTGTTCCTCATACCAACAGACAGGAAGATTTGTTTGCCCATCCCAGGAGCTTGATCCCAGAAAAGTGGAATCATGCTTATGTATAGACTGGAGGTGACTTAACATTTATCTCAGACAATATGGTGGAGGCCATGGATGTTGCAAATAGTGAATGTGTTCAGCTACTAGTCAGAAGGCTGGAGGTTCTAGCTCACCCAGAGGGGCCTTGAAACAAAGATCCAGTGATCTCCTTTCCCCAAATCAGCCACTTACAACCGTATGGAACCATGAGTTAGAGTTGACTTGACAGAAACTGATACTGGTGTGTCCATGGTAGCGGGGGATAGGTCACCTGACCCTAAGGTTGGAACTAGTTCTTCACCCTAACTGGTCTTTTTCCTTCTTGAGAGCAGGACCACGTGGGGCAATGCCACTTCTCTCTGCTCTCTAGGCCATAGGAGCAGAACAAGGACTAATGATGGAGAATTATTCTAGTACCACTGAATTCTACCTTCTAGGCTTTCATGGGTCCCAAGAACTACACTATATCCTTTTTATGATATTCTTCTTCTTCTACTCAGTGACAGTTATGGGAAACTCAATCATCATCACGATTGTCTGTGTTGATAAGCGTCTTCAATCTCCCATGTACTTCTTCCTTGTCCACCTCTCTGTCCTGGAGATTTTCATCACAAGCATCGTTGTCCCTGTGATGCTCTGGGCGTTGTTGCTCCCTGGGATGCAGAGACTATCACTAGCTACCTGTGTCACTCAGCTCTTCTTGTACCTTGCTCTGGGGACTGCAGACTTTTCACTACTGGCAGTGATGGCTGTGGACCGTTATGTGGTCATCTGTAATCCTTTGAGATACAGCAGCATCATGAACAGTCGCACCTGTACGTGGTTGGTGATTATGTCGTGGGCATTTGGGTTCCTTTCTGAAATCTGGCCTGTCTATGCTACCTTTCAGCTTACCTTCTGCAAATCCAATGTATTAGACCATTTTTATTGTGACAGAGGGCAGCTGTTGAAACTGTCCTGTGACAACACTCTGTTCACAGAATTTGTCCTCTTCTTAATGGCTGTTTTCATCATTGTTGGCTCTTGGATCCCTACAATGGTCTCCTACACCTACATCATCTCCACCATCCTCAAGATCCCCTCAGCCTCTAGCCAGAGGAAAGCCTTCTCCACCTGCACATCCCACTTAAGCTTTGTTGTCATTGGCTTTGACTGCTGCTTCTTTCTGTATGTGAAACCCAAGCAAACCCAGGCAGCTGAGTACAACAAGATTGTTTCCTTGCTGATATTTGTGGTGACCCCTTTCCTGAATCCTTTCATCTTCACTCTCCGGAATAACCAAGTCAAAGAAGTTCTCAGAGATGGCGTGAAGCGCTGCTATCAGCTCCTCAAAGACTAGCAGGTGGAACGGTCCCCATCACTGATTATTTCACAATCAGAAAGTCCTAAGTCCCTGTGTATGTGTGTACAAATGTGTATAAATCCCACTCAAATCTTGAAAGTAGACAAAGCAGGTAGGAGGAGATTCATTTTCTGTCCACTAGAATTTCACAGTCTTATGCTCATTAGGACAATTTAACTCAAGAAGTACATCCTCATGATGTGTGAAGAACTTGAAGGAAGCGGTATGCATATTTGTGTATTCTATTAGCCCAATTAATTTGCTGAGAACCACCTCTGAACATGTATTTCTTGTTGATGCAGGAGACTGGAAGACGTCAGAGTCCTAACTCGGTTCCTTCATCAGTCATTGCTAGAACCGTTTCAGAATGTTCAGCCTTTTCTTGACCAGGTGACCATGTTAGAAATGCCCTAATGCCCTCATTTCCTGTCTGTCACATCATCTGGGCTGATTGCTACTGTGGGTGCATACTTTTTGTGTATGTTTTGCTACAGAATCAGCCTTGCATGCTGACATGCTTCTCATATGGCAAATCCTGGTAGGATGGAGAAGGTGAAAAGTTGTGGGGACAGGATTGGTGTGGAAGGTTCCTTTTGTTGAACTTCACGGTATTAGTTAATCCTCTTCAATCTGTGGTTGGTCTGAGGATGTGGCAAATAAAAGTTGAACGACTAACTCTAGAGAGAGTTACAGCTGTTCCAATGAACTCTTTCTGTTTAGATTCCTCCCAGAATTGGACTCCATGTTTCCTCATTCCTATTGCTTCTCTGCAGCCCAAATTCAACTGGATGAGTTCCTTTACATAGATTTTCTCTGTTGGCAAAATCAAGAAAGTAAAAGACTACCTCCTTGACTTAGGGTTCTTGACAATTCCAGGAGAGGATTTATAATGTTGTAAGATTTCACGTCTTGCTGGAGGAAGGGCTGAGAAGGAAGACGATTACTTAGATGATGACAGTTGGCCATCCTTCCAGTCCTGCCCTTGCTCAGCAGTGAGTGACACCTTCCTTTTTTGGGGGGAGGAAGCACCATCCTGTCTTGCACACAGGCACCAGATGAAATGCAGGTGGGGTCTTCAATCTCACCCATATTCTGCTCAACAAGCCCAGTTCATGGGGGCTCTTCTGGACAGAAGAAATGTCTTTCCTCTAACACAGAATACCGAGATGGTGCCTTTCTCTAGTCTGCACAAAGGCTCTGTCTGACCAAGGCATCACTGGTCTGTGGTGAGAAGCGAAGAAGGCCTGGACCTGGCAAGGCATGCTCTTCAGTCCCTCAACCCTGGCATCTTGCTCCCCACTCATTCCCATCTTCCCCATTCCTTCTCTATCCCCCTTCATTCCAGAGTTCTCAGATTCCTCTGTGTCTCCTGCACCCTGTCCTTCCTCTACAGCATGCTCCCCAGCTACGATTCTCACTCATTCTAACTCTTCTCCTGTATCTCAGGATGACTCTTTTAATGCCCTGAGTGAGCATAATGCATATTGTGTCCAATAACTATGTCTAAGGAGAGGGTTGGGCAGTCCCTTGAAGCCTCAGTATGGAATATATATAAGAGAAGAAAAGGAGTACCATAGAAGAGTCCCATCAGAAGGGACTAGAGATGGAGCCTTAAGGTTCCATCCAGTGGAACCAGCCACGTGTAGTAGTCTTTGATCCTGAATGAAGGAGGTCACAATTCCTCTGTGCCTGTCCTGTGAACCAAACTAAATCCAAACCCCAATGAATGTTGACCTCATGCCTACCATGGGAATTGGACAACAGATGGCCTCTCGATTGGCAACTCCTATCTCCCAGACTGCAGGAGTCTTCCAAAGGAAACTGAAACCTGCCACGACTTCATACACACTGTGAAGCTGCAATAGTGTCAGACTCTACTTGTCCTTTTTCTCCCTCACACATGAGCACAGATAACGGGGACATGAGAGGGTCCTCAACACTGATAATCTGGGGTGTCCCCATTTCTGCTTACCCACACATCCGAATGAGATATGCGTTGTGTGTGTGTATGTGTATATGTATACGTGTATGTGTATTATAAGTATTTGTGTATGTGTGTATGTACCTGTGTGAGTGTATGTATATATGTCTGTACACACGAGCAGGCTTCAAAAAGTTTGTGGGAAAACTATATAATTCTATGATCTTTTAATTCCATTTTTCTACAAGCTTTTTGAACTTCCTTGATATTGATACATGTGTGTATCTCTTTGTTATCCATAATACAACATCTTTTTAACTGTGACTACGCAACACTAGTATCAGCAATTGAACACAAAAGTGGATTGCGCCATTTTAGCAGGATGAGATAAACCAGATTATAAATTTTTAGTCAATGCGGAGTACTAGGATTTTTACTATCTCCCATATTTACTATGAAAGGAAGAATCCATGCACCCTGCAACAAAGAAAATGAGACCATGAACTAACGACGTAAACTTTTGCTTACCTCCCACAATGTAGAAATGGGCTTTCCTCAGTATTGCTTTAAATATTTCATACTGCAATCCTGATGCTTACTTATATATATAATATCTATTTATAAATGAGCAAATGAAAAGATGTCATAAGAGAAAGCTTTATGATCATATCATAAAACAAATATTCTAACGAATTGTTGTATTTTATTTTTAAATAGATTTTTCATCTCTAACTTGTTATAATTAAAAATATTTATTTCTACTCTTTACTATTACAAACTTTTCAATGATTTTGTCATAATTAAGCTGCTGACCAGTATCTAGTTTCATACATAATAAGGGTAATAAAATTGAGTCTTTGTTGAATCATTGTTATATACTGAGAACTGGTCATTTCTTTAGGGATGAAAATGAACGCTGTGGTGTACACTTTGTGATCATTAAAGTTAAGAATATACATAAAGCAACTTCAATATTAGTAAATACACATTGTATTCTATCTTCTATTATGGAAGCATGCATGCCTACATGAGTAAAATTAATCTTTCCTGAATCTGCAAACTTACTTCTCATGTAATAATGAAACGATATCATTTCTCCATAAAGGTCTGTGTTTATATCATCAGGATAAGCTTGCATTAATTTCTTGGATGCCTTAATGTGTTCTTCACTGGGTGTATCCATGCTGCTTAGGAAGGGACATCTATTTGAGACAACGTCACACATTTTCGCCCTTCTTTTCATGCAATATTTAAATGTATTAAAGTTGGTGTCACAGGTGGTTATGCAAAGGTGATCTCAGCATTCCTTCAGAAGCATTTCTATCATTTGGTTGTTTCTATCAAATATTTCTGTGATGGTGAACTGCTTGATAATCAATATTTAGCACTACTTGTTTTGTTGTGTGTTCAAAATTTTCAGTCTCCTCTTAAGTTACCTTGCTAATGACTGGTAGAGATCTGTGCATGTGTTGTTACTTCTGAATCTTGGAGAGCTTGACTCTTCTTATGAAAATGCTGTTATAAAATGCCATATAACCTACATAAATATGTACTCTGATTTTTGCATTTTGTTGGTGATGTTTTCAGCCTGTCTTTTCTTATTCCTTTTTGTGTATGGTCTTCAGCAATACTTTCTAAATCATCTAGAATCTGAGTTGATACGTTCAGGGGTTTTCCTGTTGCTATAGCACATGTGTCTCAACTTGGATTGTTGTTGTTGTTGTTAAGTGTTGTTGAGGTGGTTCCAAACCATAGTGATTCTGTACAGGGTTTCAAAGCAGCATCTGGTGGGCTTGAACTGCTAACCTTGCAGTTAGCAGTCCAGTGCTTATCCTACAATACTGCACCAGGACTCCACTGTGTATTGCAAAGACATTTTGATACTAGATCATTGCCTAAATATGTTTTAAGATCTGCCCACTGGTGAGTGGAGATGGCAAAAAATCAATCACTTCTTAACAGGAATAAACTGTCCTATATCCTACTATCAACACTCATGGAAGAAGCAGTCAAGATATCAAACAACATATTGCATTACGCAAATCTGTTGCATAAGAACTTTTTAAAGTGTTGAAGAACAAAGATGTTAGCTTGAAGACTAAGGTGTGCCTGACCGAAGCCATGGTATTTTCAATAACCTCATACTCATGTGAAAGCTGGA